TTTTTTTCTTGATAATAAAGTTACTGAAACTTAAAGCGGATTTTTTTTTTTACTTTATCGTTGATGTCGTTGTTGTTTTTGCTGCTGCTGCCATTTTCAGAATCTGTTATAAAAGTTGCAGTTTTGCTGTAATTGCATTCGAAATGAGCAGGAGCGAAAGAGGGGATTGAGGTTAGAATAAGTGAGTAAATTTGTAGGCAAAGTAATTTTGAATATTGTTGGCAGAAAAAAAAAAAGCAACTTTTAGAAGAGCAAAAAATTATAGGAGTAAAACAATGACAGTCATTTAAAACGACGACAGTCATCTTTCTGTTCCTCGTTCTTCCCTTTTGAACTCCTTAATTTGTCAGCCATTGATGCAGTTTAGTAAAGCCCACCCTAAGTATTCAATTAGCTGCAATAAAAGCTTTGGAGCGTCATTGGCAACCATGGTTTTTGTTGTTCCATTAATCCAACTATGATTAGCGTCTGTGATTATCTGTTTGGATTATGAATGAAAAATTAGAAGACAATCAAAGAACAACAACAACAACAACAACAAAAAAACAAGAAAAAAACCGCTATATTTAATACAAAATTATCTCGGTTGTTTTTTTCTCTTATTTTCTTTTTTTAGAGCTTTTTTTTGGCATTTTGCAAATTTACACTTTTATTTTGAATACAACTTTTTTGAATCAGTTTTTTTTTTTTTTTTGAAACACTTAAATTTATCGTCAATATTATCAGAAAGTTGAAGTCTCCAAGAAGTCTCGTGTTTAGCCATATGTGTACTCAACAGATTAAGACAATGTTTCCCTGTAACTCTAAGTGATCTACTCAGCTATTCTTAGTAATAATTGGATCTGCTCTAAATATACAGCTAAATCAAACAAAAAAAAGTTAAAGTAAACTGTTCTGTAAATATTGATTGATACAGCAGTTTTTTAGTCTTTTTTTATTTCGGACTGAAAATTTAGTAAGAAAATGTCAGCCAAAAATTTTTATTATAATATTGGTGTAACAAATAGAAATTCAGTTTCTTTTTTTTTTTCCAGGTGCTAAATGTATCCTCAAACTGGTTTACATCGGTTAGCGCAATTTTGAAATCATCTGATTGCGAATCTGGTGAACTGATCATCGTCGATCTTAGTAACAATCGTATTCCATCTATACGTTTCACAGATTTTTCATCATTAACAGCAGTTCGTCAACTTTCATTGGCTGATAATCGTATTGAAAATATTGACAATGGTTCATTTAAAGCGTCTGAATATTTACGGCACCTTGCTGTTCAAAACAACAAAGTTTCTCGAATTGGATATTTACCGGGTCTCCTAATTTTTTTTTTCTTTTTTGTTACTTTTCGGTTTTACTTTATTAATTTTGTTATTTGTATGCTAAAACAATAAGTTGAATAACAAAAGAAATTTTTTTCTTTTTTAAATTTCGTAGCTGTGATGAAATACAATGTATTATTTAAGCGAAAAATAAATGAACCACACATATGTATTACAGATTCTCTGTTGGACATAAATTTGGCAAACAATCGGTTAACATCGGTTCCGGAATCTGTGCTATTCTTAAAAAACTTGCTGTCTCTAAACCTCAGTTATAATGCCATTGAAGGAAACACTGCCTGGGAGCTACAGTCTGTTCGTCTACGAACTTTAGACTTAAGCCATAATAATTTGGAAGAGTTTCCAGAAATGCTGCTGCAGAATGTTATGGAAAATTTAGTTGAATTTTCAATTGCATTCAATCGATTATCACGATTACCCTCCGAGTCTTTCATTAATGCAAAACGATTAGAAAAGGTGATTTTAATAATGGTGTTGATGAGGATGATGATGGTATTAATGCAATTGAATAGGGGTTTAAAAGCAGAAAAAGATTTATACACATATTTTTTGTAAAGTATTCATTAATTATTTACTGAGAGTTCAGTTTTAATTAATTACAGAGGGAAATTGAGTGTCTGTTATACGGCTTTTGTGAGGCGTTTTATTTTCGAGGTTAATCAAATGTGATCGATTATTTTAATTTTAGAGCATCCCATTCACAGGACACCTGAAAGTTTACGCTAATTAATAATGTATCTGTTTTTAGCTGGACCTTTCGCATAATTTATTGGCAGACATCGGGAACAGGAGTTTTGATGTCCCAAAACTTAACTATTTAAACTTTAGTCATAATCAGCTGTCAAATATTCCATCTGAAGTGATCGTAGAAGCAGCAAGCTTGTTCACTTTTGACCTTTCCTATAATCAGTTTTCTGAAGTTCCAGTTGTTGTCAGAAAATTAATCATACTACAAACATTGGACTTATCTCACAATCAAATAAAGTTAGCGCTGTTGTTAAGCCAATATTTTTTATTGGTTTCGTCTTTTGTAAACAGCAATAAAATTCTAAGATTACAGTGGATAATCTGACCAGTAATCTGCGTTAGGTTTCAATTAATGAAGAGAAAAATACGTACAGTTTTTTGGTGGTTTACAGCTGACAAGTTTTTCAGAGAAGTAACTCGATATCTGTTTAACAATTTGGCATCGTTGCAGTTCATCTCCATATCCCACAATAAACTGTCAAAGGTATGTGCTGTCAGTTAGTATTGTTCACAGTTAGGGTAGTATTAGGTGATGTCAAATCGTAGAATTTTGTTGCCAACAAACTATAGTATGGTGACTGCTGTTTGCAACATCGTTGTCACAGTTGGACAGCAGTTGTTCTGCTGTCGACCTTTCCCATTAAATTCTGTCACAGACGCATAATCTTATTGTTTTGTAACTTTTCTTATATAATATGTCCTCAACCTTTTTCTATTGTTTTTTTTTTCACTCACCATACTGTTTGCTATCAGTCAGCATAAAATGTTTTTTATATCAATGATTTTTGACTATTTTTCTGCCTTGTTTTTTTTTTTTTTT